GCAGGATTGGGACACTGAATTCCACATACTTGGATTTATAAGAGCATGGCTTTGGTAACCAGTGAAATAAAATGCTCACAAAATTACTCATATATCCTCAAAGCTGGTGTTACTTTGGGAAACTGAAACATTGGCAGTTTGTGTATTAGCTAATACATAAAAATCTTTACGTGGCATAAAAATGCTGTGTTAAAAGAGTTTTTTGTGTGTAAGTACAAAAATAGAAGTTATTTATATGTTAAGCACACAGGAAATAGTAGACTGTCGGTTTTCAGAAAGGTACTTACTTTAATGTTACATATTTTAGCAAAATATTGAAACTATTCAAGTATCTCATGTTTGAGAGATTGTATAGTGTATAAAATAGTAAATAGTCACTAAAAATTAGTTATAAAAATAAAAACACAAATATTTATAACAAAGTAAAAATATAGTTCAAAACAACATATACAATACTGTAATCTTTTACATTGTAACTGAATATAATATTATAAAAATAACTACATTAAAATAGTGAGATTTTTCATTTTGTTACACAAATATTTTACCATTTATCACCATTCTTAAAAATGATAAATGTGAAACAAGTTTTAAGAAAACATGTACTTTCATTGATCATTAATGATGTCTTTTCCCCTTCAGTTTTCCCTCCTTTCAGCTACTTTATTTTTTAAATAATTGTTTTCATTGTTCAGACAATCATAAATTTGTAGAAAACTTTCAAGTACAATACAAAGAGCTTTTGATTTTTTTGGCCATTTGGGAGAAAGTTGCCAACCTAGTGCCTCTTCGGTCTTTCAATACTTTTAGTGTATGTTTCCTACAAACCGGGACATTCTCCTACATAACCAAAATACAGGCATCTAGATCAGGAGCTAACATTGATATGTTCAGGTTTGCCAGTTGTGTCAGTAACGTTTGTTATAACAAAATGATCTAGTTCAGACATGTTGCATTTAGTTGTCATATCTTTTTTGTCTCCTTTACTCTGGAGTAGTTCTTCAGAGTGTCCTTGAATTTCATGACCTTGACATTTTTCAATATTGCAGATCATTTATTTTCTAGGGTGTCTCTCAGTTGGGGTTTGTCTGATGTTTCCTCGTGATTAGATTCAGGATAATTTTTTTTTTTCTTATAATTTTTTTTTTTTTTTTTTTTTTTTT